TTCCACTGATGGATGTAGGTGGGTGCCAGAGCCACAGAGAATGTTATGCAAAGAGACCAGAGTGCCACTTGGTGGCTCTGTTCGTTGGCCCAGTGACTTGCCCTCTTGTCTGTTTCCCCTCCATCCAATGACACTGTGTAAGAAACACAGCCTGGGCCTATCACACCTAAGGCCATCACAGGTATGGATGTTGTGGGGCTCTATGGAACCCTGACCCTGCTTTCAATGCCCAGCCTTACTGGGGAAGGATCTGCAAATGACAAACACAGACCCTGTGGCCTGGAGTGAAGAGCAAGGACCCACTGCAACCCAGCTGCCTGACCGAGCCCTTCCTGAATGCTGGGCAGGCACAAACTTTTCTTTAAAACTTTAGCCTGAGTTGGTCCTTATATCATTAGAACCCTTAGCTTGAGTTAATCAAAGCTTATTATAGGGCATCCAGAAAGGTGACATATCTGCAGTCTTCAAGGTTGGTTCTAAGTGTGATCACTGTTGGCACTGGTAAGTTTTACAAACACAAGTTACAGCAGAGTTCTCAGGGTACAAGCTGGGGCTGGCAGATCTAATAGCCTGGCTTAGCTACATGCCCAATACACCTAGTTAAAGTGACAAATACTGATAAAAAGCAGAGAAAGAAGTATCCACTGTAAAGGGTCAAGTGGTCCCAAGTCTATCTGCAGGATCCCGACACGAGTGTGATGTTTAAATAGAGGGCAAAGGATGTGTTACAGCTAAGCAACTAGTCAAGGTGCTGTCCCATTCATCACTGACCCATCGCTGTCAGTCTCTCCTGGCAGAAGTCTGACAAGCTGCCAGCACTGTGTGAAATCTCTTTCTGAGAGACAAGTTTCTTCTTTGAGTAGCACCAAGCTTCAGCCTTTTTTTTCCCCCTGAGCATTGGATTCCTGGGGAAGTTTAAATTCTTTGGGCTTCATCGTTTCAGTAGGATGACAGTGGACAAGAGGGACGCCAGTGTCTTTTTAGAATTTCTCCTCTTCTAATTTCTCCTCTCCTCTTTTCATTATACTTAAAATATCCATCCCACCTGTTAAAGGAATGTGACTAAATGGGTGTCTGAGGTATGGTTTCGCACCTAGATTATGAAGACACCAGATGGGGAATCCTCTGTTCCACCTGAGAGAGATAGGAAGGTCACACTGCACACTTTGGAGGATGGACCGGCCCCAGCCCGCTCTTGTATGGAAACAGAGTCTTGTGTCTCCTGGGTGGAACATTCAAGAGCAGGCCTCTCCCAAGATGTGAGGAAAGAGAATGTAGGTAGGAACTAGTTCCTCTTTAAATACGTAATTAAGTCTAGGAGAAATCACCAGTTGGTGCATGCTGAGACCAGCTGAGGAAGCAGGAAGGCCTCAGGAGAGCAGAGCCCAGGCCCATGAAGCATCATTTTACAGCACACCTTCTACGGCCAGTGCCTGACAGCAGGGCCAGGCTTGTGCCTGAAGGAAGTTTCTTGCAACAGGATGTCCCTTGAAGGGTGTTTCCACAGGAAAATGCCACCGCTCTTCAGGGATTGCAAGTATCTCTTGCGGGCTAATGAGACAAGTGGTAGCTAGCAGTCCCCAGACAACTTGCAGGTGGGACTGGTCAGGAAGACTAAGAGGTTGGGGAAGCCAGGGGACTGGACAAATAATCAGTCATTCAGAGTGCTGAAGCCTCCGAGTTCAGGTGAAGAGCGGGTCTGAATCTTGCCCTATCATTGGTACTTTTCTGTGTTCAATCCTTAAAGAGATTTCACTGCAGAAAGGGGCTACGGATGAACCATGTTTGCAACGACAACAATCATGACACATAAGTGTCTTGAAAGGCTGCAGGACAAAGTCCAAGCTCAGGGCCCTTTGTATAAGTTCACAAGTACCCAGTCCTTACTCTTATTCATCTAGGAGAAGATACTAAGTCAAGCAACAAGCTGAACTTGGGAGGACCTGTCCCTTTCTTAGCACAAGATATGTAGTTTTGGCTAAGGCCAAGTTAAAACAGATGAAAACAAAACATCAACAATAAAACCCCCCTGAGGCCATAGAGGAAGCTGGCAGGAAAGGGCTTTTGAACACTCTTGGAATCAAAAGTTTTCATTTCTCTATGCCATGGGTTTGGGGTCATCAAGTTCTCAAGAATTCTGCACAGCAGAGACACCATGGAGAAACTGACAAAGACTTCACTAGAAATGTGTACCCTACAGGGAATGGTCAAGCAGAACACAGCAAAGCTACACTCAATCCCAGAACAATGTTAAAAAGCGATCTCCATGCCTCTAGTCTTCTTCTAATGGGGGAGTTAAGTAATGTCCTAACCAAGACATGCTATGGGAAAAGCTTATTTTCTGGCTCCAGGCCTTTCTAAAAATGGGTGTGTTATGGCTGGCCAAGGCATCTGTCCAAAATTAAAAGGTCACATGCAGAAACCAGGGGTCCTACCCTCCCAGAAGCTCAGGAACACACACACACACACACACACCACACTCCCATAGGTAAGCACAGGTTAGGGGCAGTTAGGAGCAACCGAGGGGCTCCAAAGACCAACTCCCATCCTTCCTACACCCATAGCCAGTAACCAATGGGGGGCAACCACTCTGGGAGTGAGGAGCAGAAGGCTTCCTGCCTGGCCAGCCCACTTGACCTCAGAGAACAGCACTTGGACACATCACTGTCCATGCCCAGCCCCTCCTGTCCCCTCCCACTCCTGTCTCACTTTCTGCCTGTGCACCTAACTCTATGAACCACATCCAGGACCTCACCTAATACCCCTTACAGTGCTTGTTCTTTTATATCTCAACTTAGCAAAAGGTCCTCACACACCCTGAAGGATGTGTCAGTATTTCCTTTGTTTATGACACCATGCATGCAGTTTGGACCACTTTCCCTTTTTGCCTATGGCAAATGACAAGATTCTGAGCAAGATGTACAGATACTATTCACCCAAAGGATTTGGTTGAACATTCACCCAGTAGATGGACTGACAGGAATGCATTTCACCTACTCACTTTCTGAAGCTAATTTTTTGGCAATATGAAGACCTTAGAAGCTGGTCTGCTATAATGTCTGCACTTCTATCCCTCCTCAGCTGTAAGGCCAGTCCTTGGTACTACTCTGTTGCCCCTCAGATTTGGCAGTTTCAGAAAATAACAAACATAAGCTTGCTCACAACCCCAGAAGTACACTATCTATCACAGACAGAGTGCTGGCTGTTGGGGCGGGCACTTCCCAAGGAGGTGCCAGGAAGTTTGGGCCCTCTACTCTATATGTCTCAGTTTCTACCCTGTAAAAGTGGCCACAGGCTCATCTACTTCTGGCCCTTATCAACTGCATGAACTATGCCAGCTTCTATATTCCAATGCCTGCCACAGGCTTCAGTTCCTTCTGCTTCAGTTTCTTCCAGAGAGTTCTCTGGACTCACCAAGTGGGTAGCCTGGGCATGCGACTTCTGTACCAGCAAGAGTTGTGAGGAAGAGACCTTCCTTGGATTGATGGCATAAAACCACAGTAATAAATGTGGGGATATCTAGCCAGTTTTAAATAGAATATCTTGGACCCACCTAGTCCACTCCAACTTGGCAACTTGAGTGTGCACCTGGGAAGTTGGTAGAGTAACCAGGCCCCTACAGCATCTGTCACTCACGCCTATGAGAAAGAAAGCAAGCTATTTATCCAGCCAAGGAAGAGTAATAAAGAAGTCTGATTCTACAAGACCCTGACCCTAATGACCCCCAAGCATGAGGGATACCACAAGCCTGGCTTATTCAGAGCCTGACCAATAACAGCTAAAGAAACAAAGCTGTAATCAATCAGATGAATCTCAAGTTCCATGAAGGGAAATCTTGGTACTAAATTATGCATAGTAAGTTGATAGGAGTTAATAAATACAAACAATCCTTGCTGTGAAGGTGACAAGGGTGTGTGGGGGTGAGGGATGGTAGCACTTTCCTCTCAACCTGAAATCCCCTCCAAACTGTCTGCTAAACATGCCCTGCACATTTAACTTGAAAATAAAATGGGTATAGATCTGCAAATGCTGGTCTTTCACATGCAGGGCTGAGGAATACACAGAAGGCTGGGAAGGAAGAAACTATCCTAACTTGAGGACAGTCACCACTGTGGGCAGAAAGCAAGCACAGAGAACAGGACTACTGTCTATGTCACAGCCTAAAAAACATGTTCTCTTCACAGAGACACTTGCATACCAATGTTTCTACAGCAGTATTCACTATAACTAAGTCATGAAATCAACTTAGATGTCCAACAACATAAGAATGCATAAAGACAATGTGGATTAGATACACATGGTATTCCTTTCAGTCACTAAGAAGAATGAAGCCATATCATTTATGGGGGAAATGGATGCAAATGTAGAGAATCTCATTAAGCCAGACTCAGAAGAACAAATATTTCCTGTTTCTCTAATTTTGTGGTTCCCAGACTTTACATAATGACACAGAGTCACATAGGTATAATGTGACATACAAGCATAAGCTAAACTGTTAGGAAAAGAGTGGGAACCAAGGCAGCAGGCAGAGAGGAGATTCTTATTTACATTTTCTTTGTTTTACTTTTGTTTTATTTGTGTGTGTGCAGATATCCTTGAAGGCCAGAAGAGGTGACAGATCCCCTGGCGCTAGAGTTATAGGAGATTGTGGTTGCTCAGTGTGGGTGCTAGGGATCAAACTATGGTCCTCTGCCGAGAGCGGCAAACACTCTCAACTGCTGAGCCATCTCTCTAGCCCAAATCTAATCTGTATTCTTTTATGTATTTAGAAGTGCACTTTGAAGAGTTGTAAGTAATGGCACTGACAGGGTCCCTTTCCTCTTATAGCAAGGCTTTCTCATCTGATGGTCATGGGAAACATAGCGACAGGGATGTTCCACTACCCAGAATAATGGTTCTATATTTTTCAATAATTCTGAATCAAAGGACTCAGCTCAGCTCCAGCTTGGTATTCACTCAGCATGCAGGGAAAGACAGCACAGTTCACACATCCAGCTCACCTTCTCCTGGGCTGACTTGACCACACTGGAGACTTCTCCAACTGTCAGCTGCAAGGACTGGGCCTGTGGGTTCTGCTGGAAAGAGAGATGCAGTGGACCCTGGAAGAAAGAGGCTGTGTGAGAAGAAACGCATAAATATAGCCTGGGTTTTGTCTATTTTTAAACACAAACTCAAACTTGCTACATAATTAGAAATAAAAAAAGTAACAGAACATCCTAGCAGTGGTTAAATATCAGTAGGTTTACACCCCCCAAAACCAGCCAAATGTTGGACTTGCTCAGCACTTGACAAACAGGACCCTGTGAGGAGGGAAGGATGGAGAGGGCAACTGACTCAGAGATAAAGCAAAGAAGCATCATGTTGGGCCCCAAGATTCAGGATGGGAGAGAAGTGAGACCTTAGGGCAGGCTGTTGGTGCATCTTGCCCTTTCAGCTGTGTCTCCTCCTTCCTGAGCAAGCGTTCTTCTCTGGATGGAGGGGCATACCTCTCCTGCTTTATGAGGTTGTGCAGGGACTGCTACTCGAGGTGCCATCTCCTTCTCCTCTTCCACTGCTAGGCAGAAACCCAGGGCCTGGCATCTCTCTGGGATGTGAAATGACACAGAAGACTGCTGGCTGGAAAGGAGCCTGTCTGGTGGCTGTGTCCTCAGTCTTTGCCTAACAGCCCTCTAGAGCTGCCTGGCTCCCCAGCCACCGGAGCTCCATGCAATTTTCTAGTGAACGCTGTGTCTTTTTTATTATTATTATTATTTCTTTTTTGGTGTGTATGTTTATTACGTGTATATGTAAACGTTTGTGTATGTGAATGTGTGCACATGCTTGTCTCAATCCGAACATAGAGGTCAGAGGAAAATCTTGGGTGTCAGTCCTCACCTTCATTCATCCTTGTTTGAGACAGTCAACATGCACCAGGCTAGCTGCCAATGAAATTCCAGAAAGCTTCCTGCCTCTTATCTCATCAAAGACACATGCTACCACACATGATCTTTACATGAGTCCTGGGGATTCGAACTCAGATCCTCATGCTTGTGAGGCAAGTGGTTTACCCTCTGAGCCAGCCTTCTCTTTTTCTGGGGTGGAGGAGTCATGCAAGTTAAAATTTTCCAAGTGAGGGCTAAGGATACAGCTCAGCTGGTAGGGTTCTTATCTAGCACACAAGAGGTGGAGGTAGAAAGATCCCAAGTTCAAAGACATTCTTGGCTATGTATTGGGTTCGATAGCAGCCTAGGCTACATGAGACCCTGTTTTTGCTTTTGTTTCCTTTGTGTTTGTTTTTTAATCTTCAAATGACACACACACACACACACATATGTATATATGTATATGTGTGTGCAAATACATATATAAACAATGTAATTATAAGGCAGAAAAATTGATGCTTTATAAAAGTAAATATGGACTTAGACAGCAAGCCAAGAACTGTCCTCTTAAAATGAGTTCTCTGGAAAGTCCCAGCTTACATACCAAGATGCCCTTAGTTTGAAACTTTAACTTTTCCTGCCAAATAGCCTTTCCTATCTAAAGTTCTGACTGGATGGCAAGAATCTACTGCCCTATGTGTGTCCTGTAAGTCAGAACTCCATGGCAGTGAGCTAGTCACCTATATGGGTAACAGACAGGAGACAGAACAGGCATGTAAAATGGGACCAGAGGTGCTCCAGCAGCCCTAGTGCAAAACAAGCAGTGGCATAATTCTCTCCCTATTTCTTAAGAATTCCCAGAGATCAAAGTCAAGTATAAAATACATAGCTCATTTTTATTTAGGATTTAGAACCTCACTCTGTGCTAACAGCACCTACCTCACTCCTTAAACATCATGAAAGGTGGTAAAATCTACATTGCTGGAGGGATGAAGTCACTATCTCCAGGCTCTACTGGCTGAGTCTGGGGCTGGAACAAGCCACTGCACTGTGGCACAGAGGTCAGTGCCAGGTAGGTGCCATTAACAGAGTGCCCAGATGCTGAGGTAAACCAGTAGAACAGAGCATCCCAGAGAAGCCTAGAAGTACAGGTTGATAGGGTGGACATTTCTTCTGGTGGTGCCTTCTGGGCAAAACCTTAGAAAGATCCTTAATGTCAAGGTATGCTCTTACAAAGGACATACATTGTAAGTTAAAATAAGGATGGGGAGACTACCTTTCTACTTCTAATCCACCTGCCCCTGTGGGCTCAGGAGTAGAGTGAGCCAACAGCTTTCAACCAATTCCTGCACCACTGACATTCTGCTCAAAGCTAGCAACACCAGTTCACAGCCACCTGCCCTGACTAAAAGAGTAGGAACTGGCAGAAAAACACATATCCATATACATACCCTTACAAACACACACACACACACACACACACACACACACACACACACACACACACACAATAAGGAAACAAAAAAACCAAGAAGTGAAGTTGGTATCCCTCAGACCCTGACCCATACCACAGGTCCTCTGTGACTAAAACAATAACTCTGAGCAACCAGGGGAAAAAGTCCAGAACAGATTAACTAAAGTAGAAGTTCAGCCATAGGGCCACAAGTGGAAAATGCCACACCATGAAACTTTGTTTCAGGCACAGGACTGTGTCAGATTACCTTCAGTATATGCTGGCCAGGGCACCACGCACACCCCTTAAGGTGCACATGAAACAGAAGAGAAATTCATATTTAGGCTGAGGTATCTAACGATGCATATGTAAATATTTCAGAATCAGACATCAAGAACACTTGTGGCCCTAGAATTTCAGATAGGGATGTTGTTTCTGGCAACAGTAACATCCCAAGGCACTGGGAGGGGGAGCTAATTTTAGTATTTAGAAGTCCTCCCATGTGAGTTCCAGGGGTCAAACTCTGAGCATAATGCTTGGTGGTAAGCATCCTCACACCCCCTGAGCTTTCTCTCTAGCTTGATTTTTTCCTTAGTATTTTACTTTCTTTTATAAATTTAATTTATTTATATTTTTTATGTGTGAGTGCCAGAAGCAGGCATCAGATCCTATTACAGATGGTTCTGAGCCACCATGTGGTTGCTTATATATTTATTTAGTGTAGGAGGATGGATATTAAGAACATTCAGAAGACCATCATGACTGTGCACAGAACCTGTAATCCAGCACTTATGTTTCTACAGGCTTAGCAATGTGTGGGTTAGCAATATGATCAAATAAATGACCAAGCAAAAAAACTAAAAATGAAGAAGAGACTGATGTCTCAGTCGGTAAACCAAATACTCAGGTATGTTAATGCTTGCTTGCAATGAGGGTGGGGAGGGGGGTTGGGCTGGCAGACACAGGCTCACAGACAATGAGATCTAGGTCAATGAGAGACCCTGTCTCAAAAAACAAGGTAGATGGCACCTGAGGAGTGACAGCTGAAATTTTCCTTATATACACACAAATATACACATGAGGGTGGGGAGAACACATACATACACACAACAGAATAGAGAAGACTAAGATGAACCCTGTTTTTGAACTAAGAAGCAGAGTATTGATATGGCTTAGAGGTCAAATACTGACAGACATGAAAACATACATGTCTTCACCCTCACAGCCACACTGAAGCTCTGTCCACTGAAAGGGTATAGAATATTGATTGAGAGCTGAGCAGTGGTATGCATGCCCAAACCCTACATCCTCAGCTCTAAAAGCTTTTTCCAATAGATGGAACTGAAGCTTCCTATAGAAGTGGCTTGATCCAGGGTCAGAGGAGCAGAAAATACAAGGTAAGCAAAATGTACACACACACACACACACACACACACACACACACACACACACACACACACACACACACACCTGAAGAATCAAGCTTTATATTTATGTCAGAATATATGTTGCTGCAAAAGAAGGGATCCTAAAGTAAAGGGAATGGAAACAAGCTTACCAATGGGACCATAATGCAAGAAAAGAAACGCAAGTGTGGACTGACAAAGAACACAGCTGGCTAGAGAAACACACAGTAGCAATTTAGGCAACAAAGTAATAGCAATGGTACAGGGCTAGGGCCCACAGAATAATTTAAAGAATAAACAAAACACAAGTCCACAGTGATGAATACAACCAGCTAAACATACTTGTAGGAGTGACCACTGTCTCTCTCAGCAGAGGTCCAGTTAATAACATAAAGGAGGAAATAGTCAATCACCATTAAGGAAACTCCATGTAGTTAATTGTGGCTGGTGAGCCATACTAAATTGAGAACAGAAACATCCAAGGATACATCTCCCAAGACATGGTAACTACATCCACATGTGGAGACATAAGACATAAAACCATCTCACAGGATCCACATGTCCAGCAGCAAGTTACACCAACACCATGTACTCCTCAATACTGAACAGTTATGGGTTACTGTTTGTGTATGTACAGCCTCAACTCAACAGCCAGAAAAGCAGACAGATACTCAGCAAAATAACAATCAACAACACTCCATTTTATCAAGTTCATAAATAACAAGACTGAATGAGAAACTATTATAGACTGTGGGAGACTAAGAAGTACCAACTAAGGGTCATAGGAGACCCGTGGGGGCCCTACGCAATAAGAAGCTGCCAAGATTAAGGAATAGTTTGATTTCTTATTAAAGGGATTATGATAATGTTAATGTCTTGTACTGTTAATTTCACTGTGTTTTTAGTTGTAGCTACAATTGGTAATGTAACTGTGCCCAGGTTAAAAGTTTGTTCTATACAATGTTATTTTATTGCATGTTTGGTTATAGTTACACTGTTAATCCCTTATTCTACCTGAATTTCTCCAGTTTTAAGTTATAACCACCCTGTACCAACAGTAATTCTGCTCTAATCATCGAGTGGTAGCTATGGGAGGCTGAATGAAGAACACATAGAAACTCAATTATTTTTCCAACTTTTCTGCAAATCCAAAAGCAAGTCGAACAGTTTTCAAAGGAGAGATTACAAAAGAGCAGCCTTGACTCATGATATGCTCATACAGGCTCACAGATCTCTATGGCATTCCCTTCTGCCGAAATAAAGAATCAGACTTGTCCAAGATCACATAGTTAGTGAGTACAGAGTTGGGATTCAAGCATATCTTCTACATGATTAAAGAACCCTCTTCCCTCCTCAGCCACCAGAAGTTGGTGATCTGC